CAGGATGGTCTCGATCTCCTGACCTCGTGATCCGCCCGTCTCGGCCTCCCAAAGTGCTGGGATTACAGGCTTGAGCCACCGCGCCCGGCCTTAAAGTTTCTCTTTTAAGTATCTTTGTTTAATACTTAAGATTGGTTAGTTTTTAAAAAAGTATGAAATCAGTAATATCACAGATATGGAAAACATTGTGAAGATGGGATGTGCATGAGATGTGTCTTAGTTATCTAATGCTATATAACAAACGATCCCCAAATTTAGCAGTCTCACAGTTTCTGGCAGCTGCTAAGGACAAACTGGCCAGCACTTGATCATGTGGCCACCCCTGGCTGCAAATAAGACTGGAAAAGGAGGTCTTTATTATGGGTAGCCTTGAGCCCAGGTCTAAATAGAGAGTGTGTTAACATCTAAGAGGGCAAGAGCAGATGCTGGGAACAAGTGGCACCAGGAAACCGGAGAAGTGGGGCATCTTTAGAGGGTCCCTCATCAGATAATCCCCACCCACAACCACTGAGAAAGCTTATTTTTTAAAACTTAAAACAATTTTTTTTTTTTTTTTTTTTGAGATGGAGTCTTGCTCTGTCGCCCAGGTTGGAGTGCAGTGGTGTGATCTCGGCTCACTGCAACCTCCACCTCCCAGGTTCAAGTAATTCTCCTGCCTCAGCCTCCCAAGTAGCTGGGATTACAGGGACACGCCACTAGGCCTGGCTAATTTTTGTAATTTTAGTAGAGACGGGGGTTTCACCAAGTTGGCCAGGCTGGTCTTGAACTTGAATTCAAAATCACTTGAGGTCTGACCACAAGTGATCTGCCTACCTCGGCCTCCCAAAGTGCTGGGATTACAGGCATGAGCCACTGTGTCTGGCCTATTAAAATTATTTTTAATTGTGGCAAAATACACATAAAATCTACCATCTTGATCATTTTTAAGTGTACAATTCACTAATGTTAAGTATATTCACACTGTTATATAACCAATCTCCAGAACTTTTTCCTCTCCTAAAAACTCTATCCCCATTGGACAATTCCCTCTTTCCCTCTCCACCAAGCTTTTGGCAACCACCATTCCATTGTCTGTCTCTAGGAATTTGACTGTTCTGCCTCATATGAGTGGAATCGTCAGTATTTGACTGGCTTTTTTCACTTACCCTAATGGCCCTTAGAATTCATCTGTGTTGTTGCATGTGTCAGATCAAGACTAAATAAAATTCCAGGCCGGGTGCAGTGGCTCACACCTGTAATCCCAGCACTTTGGGAGGCCGAGGCGGGTGGATCACCTAAGGACACGAGTTCCAGACCAGCCTGGCCAACATGATGAAACCCTGTCTCTACTAAAAATACAAGAATAGCCAGGTACGGTGGCAGGTGCCTATAATCCCAGCTACTCTGGAGGCTGAGGCAGGAGAGTCGCTTGAACCCAGGGGGCGGAGGTTGCAGCGGCAAGATCACGCCACTGCATTCCATCCTGGGCGACAGAGTGAGATTCCATCGCCAAAATAAATAAACGAATAAATAAATAAGCAAGCCAGCTGGGTATGGTGGCGGGAGCCTGTAATCCCAGCTACCCAGGAGGCTGAGGCAGGAGAATCACTTGAACCCAGGAGGCAGTGGTTGCAGTGTGCCAATGTTGCGCCGTGGCACTCCAGCCTGGGTGACAGAGTGAGACTCCATCTCCAAAAAAAAAAGACTAAATGAAATTCCATTGTATGTATATGCAACATTTTTCTTATCCATGTATCTGTTGATAGACACTTCCACCTTTTGGCTGTTGTGATTTATGCTGCTATGTTTCTGTCCGTCTGTTTGTTTGTTTTTGAGACAGCGTGTCACTCTTTTGCCCAGGCTACAGTGCCGTAATGTGATCATGGCTCACTGTAGCCTTAACCTCCTGGGCTCAAGCATTCCTCCCACCTCAGCTTCCTGAGTAGTTGGGCCTCTAGGCACACGCCACCACATCTGGCTAATTTTTGTATTTTTTGTAGAGACAAGATTTCACCTGTTGTCCAGGCTGGTCTTGAACACCTGGACTCGAGCGATCCGCCTGCCTCAGCCTCCCAAAGTGCTGGGATTAAAGGCATGAGCCACCACGCCAGGCCTGATTTATGTTGCTACGAACGCAGGTGTGCAAATATCTCTCTGAGACCCTGTTTTCAGTTCTTTCGGGTATATAAGCAGAAGTGGATTGCTGGGTCATATGGTAATTCTATTTTTCAATGTTTGAGGAACTGCCATATTGTTTTCCACAGTGGCAGCACCATTTTGCATTCCCAGCAGTGTACCAGAGTTCCAGCAGTTTCTCAACATCCTGACATACACTTTTCTTCTCCTCCTCTTCCTTCCCCTCCTGCCCCCTCCCGCTTCCCCTCCTCCTCCATCTCCCAGGCTGGAATGCGGTAGTATGATCATAGCTCACTGCAGCATTCAAACTCCAGAGCTTAAGCAGTCCTCCCACATTGCCTCCTAAGTAGATAGGACTATAGATGCACATCGCCACACCCAGCTAATTTAAAAAATATTTTTTTGTAGAGACAAGGTCTTGCTACATTGGCCAGGATGGTCTTGGACTACTGCCTTCAGGAGTTCCTCCCGCCTCAGCCTCCCAAAGTGCTGGGATTACAGACATGAGCCACCATGCCCGGC